GATTGATCAACAATTTGCATTATGCAGATGACACAACCCTGCTTGCTGGAACTGAAGTGCTTACTGTGAAGTGTCATGGACTACAGCATTCAATATGGACTGAAGCTCAACATCAAGAAAACAAAGATTCTCACAACTGGGATGCTTGGCAGAATCATTATGGGTGATGAAGAGATTGAGATTGTTGACAGCTTCAGTTTGTTTGGCTCTACAATCAACACTCTTCTTAATAGAAGCCAGGAAATTAAAAGACTAATTGCACTGGGAAAGTCTGCTGTCAGAGACCTCTCCAAGGTACTGAAGAGCAACAATGTCAGTCTGGAGACTAAGGTGCACCTGATCCAGGCCATGATCTTTGTAATTAATTACTTGCTATGCATCAGAAAGCTGGACAATGTCTAGGAATGATAGAAGAAGAATTGATGCTTTTGAACTGTGGTGTTGGAAAAGAGTATTGACTATACCATGGACTGCTAGGAGAGCAAAAAAGTTCATCCTAGAGAGGATGAAGCCAGGCTGCTCCTTGGAGGCAATTATTTTGAAGCTCTGTCTGACACATTTTGGACATGTTGCAAGGCAGGATCAATCCTTAGAAAGAGACATCATGCTTTGGAGGGTGGAGGGACAGCGCAGGAGAGGAAGACCCTTGATGAGATGGATCGTTTCAATCGCTGGGGTAATGGGGATAGGTGTGTTGGAGACAATAAGATTGGCAAGGGATAGGTCAGGGTTTAGGGCTGTTTTACATAGGGTCACTATGAGTCGCAAGTAACTTGATGACACATAACAACAATAAACCTACAGCCTCTACAAGAAAGGAAATTATGAGGGTAAGAACTGAAATCAGTAAGATAGAAAACAGAAAAACAATTGAAACCATTAATAAGAAAAGGAACTGATTTTTCAAAAGAGTCATTAAAATTGACAAACCACTGACAAACTTAATAAATAAAGAAAGAGAATACATAGATAATTAAGAAATGATAGAGGTGATATCACAACAGAACCAGAGGAAATTAAACTGACAGTATCAGAATACTATGAAAAGTTATACACTTATAATTTTTAAAACCTAGAGGAAATAGACACATTTCTTGAAAGTCATGTCCTACCCAGATTGACCAGGAGAGATGTAGAACACTGGAACAGACCTATCACAAAAGAAGAAATTGAAGAGGTCGTAAAAATATTTCCCCATGAGAAAAGTCCTGGATCAGATGGCTTCACAGCAGAACTCTACCAAATATTCAGAGACTATCTGTCACCAATTCTACTTAAAGTATTTAAAAATACAGGAAAAGAAAAAAAAAACACTCCTACAGTAATTCTATGAAGCAAGCATAACCCTAATATCAAAACGAGGCAAAGATATCACCAAGAAAGAAAACTACAGACCAATATCTGTTATGAATATAGATAGATGGAAAAAAACCCTAAAATTTAACAAAATTCTAGCCAACAGAATCCAAAAGCACACACACACACAAATAATTCATTATGACAAAATGCTATTCATAACAGGTATGCAAGGGTCATTCAACAGTAAAAAAGCAAGATAGTCAATGTAATTCACCAAATTAACAAAGGAAATAACAAGAACCATATGATCCTAGCAATTGATGCAGAACAGGTATTTGACAAAATCCAACACACTTTCCTGATAAAGACACTTAGCAAAATTGAAGCAGAAGAAATTTCCCCAAATAGTGAATTGTATATATGCAACACCAAGAGCCAATATCATTCTCAATGGAGAAAAATGAAACGCATTTTCCTTGTGAACAGGGACCAGGCAAAGATGCTCACTATTGCCACTTCTATTCAACATGTTATTGGAAGTACTTGCTAGGGTAATATGAAAAGAGAAGGAGGAAAAGATACTCAGATTGGCGAAGAGATGGTTAAACTGTCACTATAAGTAGATGATATGATAATGTATGCAAAAACCCCAAGGACTCACCAGAAAAGCCATTAGAGCTACTAGACAAGTTTAATAGAATGCTAGGATATAAGATAAATGTCCAAAATTCAGTGGGATTCCTCTACAGTAACAAAGAACTCAGAGAAGGAAACCAAGAAAGCAATACCATTTATAATAGGCAACCACAAATTGAGATACTTGGGACTGAACCTAATTAGAGACACAAAAGACCTGTACAAAGAAAACTATAGGACATTCCAGCAAGATACAATAAATGACCATTTATTATGGAAAAATATTCCCTGTTCATGAATACAAAGATTCAATATTGTAAAAATTATAATCCTACCAAAAGCAATCTACATGTGCAGCTCAATCCTGAGACACATACCAAGAAAGATTTTCAAGAAAATCAAAAGGGAATTAATTAAGTTTATTTGGAGAAGAAAGAGAAGCCCAAATAAACATAGCACTTCAGAAGAACAATAATGAAGTCAGAAGCATAGCACTCCCTTACTTCAAAACCTACTACACAGCAGTAGTAAGCAAAATAGCATGGTACTGGTACAACAACAGGTACAAAGACTACCAGAGCAAAATGGAGAACCAAAAAATACACCCATCTATTTTTAGTCAACTGAAATTTGACAAGGAAATAAAACCTATCAAATGCGGAAATGACAACCTCTTCAACAAACAGTGCTGGTGCTGGCACAACTGGACTGCTACCTGCAGAAAACTGAAACAGAATCCACATCTCACACCCTACACAAAAATCAACTCAAGGTTTATCACAGACCTGGAATCAAAGCCCAAAACTGTAAAGTTCATCACAGATAAACTGAGATCAAACCTAGATGGCCTAGTCTAAAAAGAAACTGTAAAATACAGCCAGAAATGCACAATCTAGAGAGGATAAAATTGATGAATGGAACCTTCTAAAGATTAAATCCCTGTGTGCATCAAAGCCATTTTCCAACAGAATGAAAGAAAACTTACTAACTGGGGGGAAAATCATTTGGCACTATCACTTCAGATAAAAGTCTCATATCAAAATTTTCAGAATCCTACAGGGCTTCAACAAGAAAGAGACTGATAATCCAGTTACAAAATGAGCAAAAGTCATGGAAAGACTTTTCACAGAGGAAGACATTCAAATAGCAAACAGACACATGAAGAAATGTTCAAAACCACTGGCAGTAAGAGAGATAAAAATCAAAACCACAATAAGATACCATCTCACCCCAGTGGCAGTGGCCAAGTTTAACAGGATAGCAAGTAATAACTTGTAGAGAGGATGTGGCAAGATAAGAACTCTTATACATTGTTGGTGGGATTGTAAAATGGTACAACCATTCCGGAAGATAATTTGGTGTTTCCTCAAAAAGCTGAACATAAACATTCTGTATGACCTAGCTATTCCACTGCTTAGAGAATATAATCCAAGAAAATTAGAACTGAGGCACAAATGGAGATTTGTACAACAATGTTAATAGCAGTCTTTTTCATCATCCAAGAATATGAAAACAGTCCAAATGTCAAACCAGAATATAATGGATTGAGAAATTATGGTACATTCACACTAAGGAATACTATGCAGCATGTAGGATCAATGATTTTGAAAATTACTACCTACCTTGCAAAGGATGAGAGAGCATCATGCTAAAGCGAACTAACTTAGTTTCATAAGGACAAATACTGTATGTGAGGATTATTGTAGAAATAGGTATCTAGTAAAACCTGTATGAGGATCTAAGAGGAGAAAAGGGGGAGCAGAGGAGTGAGGATGGGCTGGGGATGGGTTGAGGGAAGGGTGGGTAAAGGAAATGGTAAAGATTTAGTTAAAAACAATGTATATGAACTTTGTAAGTAAACCAGTATAAAATGAAGATTTTATTTAAAAAATCTATCTGTGCTTCATTGACTATGCACAGGCATTCGACACAGCAAATTGTGTAGATTAGAGCAAATTGTGATTAACATCAAGAAGAATGAGAATTCTAGAGCACAGGATTGTGTCAGAACAGAGCAAGGACACCTTGCACGGTTTAAAATCAGGACAGGAATGTGTTGGGATGTGTCTAGTCTCCATACCTTTTCAATTTATATGTGGAACAGATAATTCAGGAAGCTGTGCTTTATGAGAACTGTGACACCAGAATTGGAGAAGACTCATCCGCAACCCGCATTATGCACATGACATAGCCTTGCTTTCTGAAAATGAGGAGCAGTCTTTAATAGGGATTGAAGTCCAACATCAAAAGACAAAGATTTTCACCACTGTGCCAACTGGAAACAGCATGATAGCTGGAGAAGAGATTGAGGTTGTTAACAGTGACAGCTTGCTCAGCTCCATAGTCAACACTCTTGGTACCAGTAGTCAGGAAATCAAAAGATGAGGTGCACACTCTGAGTTACACCTGTCTCACTTGCATAACAAAAGCAACATATTCTCAAATGTGATTACAACCACAGGAATAAAGGTTAAATTTACAAAACATATGATACTGTCAAGTTGACTATGAATCATAGAGACCCTATGCAGGTCTTTGAACAGAAACCATGCTTTATCTTGTACCATCTTAACAGTCTCTGACATGTTCAAGGACATTGTTACAGCCACTTCATCAAATCCATCTCATCAAAGGTCTTCACTTTCCTTTCACTACCTTTCCCAGCGTGATGCTTCTACCACAGACAGGTTCCTCATGATAATATGCTCAAAGTATGAGAGACAAACTTTCACCATTTTTACTCTAAGGAGTAACCTGGGTTGTACTTCCTCTAAGATAGATTTGTTCTTTTGGTGGTACAAAGTATATTCAATACTGTTTACTAGCCGATTCAGAGGACTTTAAGAGGTACTTGACAGAGATTTTCACAATCTTCTGATTTCTTGACAGCTGGATGTTGCCTATGTATCCGAGTCAAATAAAACCCCTGACAAGTTCAATCTTTTCTCCATCTATTATCATGCTATCTATTGGTCCAGTGGTGAAGTTTTTTGAAAGCTGTAGTCTTTAAACTGCTGTACTAATTGCTTCATCTCTTCCTTCAAGGAAGATTGTATCATCTACATAAAGCCTGGTGCTAACAAACCTTCCTCCAATCCTGATTTTATATTCTTCATCTAGCCAACATTATTAATTATTGTCTCATCTCACCAATTGAATAGAAATAGAGAAAGGATACACCACTGATGCATACCTATCTTGATTTTAAACTATGCAGTGTTCCCATGTACTGTTCAGATAACTGCTTGTTGGTCTATGCACAGTTTCACATAAGAACAATTTAGTGTTCTGGGATTCACATCCTTCTCAATGTTAGCCATAACTTGTTATGATGTTGTTGTTATGTGCCGTCAAGTTGCCTGCGACCCATAGTGACCCTATGTACAACAGCTCTGAAACCTGCCCTGTCCTGAGCCAGTCTCACTAATTACAACACACCAACGCCCACTGACTCCAGCTACTGTGTCAATTCATCTCATCCAGGGTCTTCCTCTCTTGCACTGTCCTTACAAACATGATGTCCTTCTCCAAGGACCAGTCTCTCCTGGCTGCGTGCCCAAAGTATGTGAGGCAGAGTTTCAAAATCCTAGCCTCCAAGGGGAAGCTTGGTTTCATCCTCTCCAAGACAGACCTGCTTGTTATCTTGATAGTCCATGGTATGTTCAAGACTCTTCTCCAGAACCAAAACTCCAAGGCATTGAGTCTTCTTTCATCCTTAGTCATTGTCCAGCTCTCTGATACATAACAAGTAATTGTGAAGACCATGGCCTGGATTAGGTGCACCTTAGTTTCTAGACTGAAATTGTTGCTTTTCAGCATTCTAGAGAAGTCCCTGACAGCAGATTTTCACAGTGCAATTCCTCTTTTGATTTCCTGGCAGCTAGTATTAAGAGTGTTGATTATGGAGCTGAGCAAGTTGTAATTGTTAACAACCTCAATCTTTAGTCAAATGTCATTGCATAGTCAATAAAACATAAATAAGCATCTTTCTGGTATTTTGTGCTTTCAGTCAAAATCCATCTGACATCAGCAATAATATTTCTCATGCCACAGCCTCTTCATTCTTTTTTAATTCCTGTAAGTTCTTTGGCAATATACTACGGTTACTGTCTTTTCTTAATAATATTCAGCAAGATTTTGCTTGAATGTCATACTAATGATACTCTTCTACAATGTCTATATTCTGTTGAATTAACCTTTTTTTTGAATGGTGATAAATATGTTAGAGGGATGCAACTCTCAGTCCATTAAGCTCCATTATCTACTTCTTCCAAAGTCTTATTCTTTTAAAACTCCATGTTCTTTTAAAAAAATTATTAATTTTTGTGTGTGTACCGTCAAATTGTACCTGACTGGTACAGAAGGAGATTGCCCCTCTTTCTCCAGCAGAGCATCAGGTGGATTCAAACCGCATACCTCTGGGATTGCAGTGCAGCTTCTTGCCACTAGGCCACCAGAGCTTCCTCAAATTCATGTTCTTACCACATTCACCTCATTACATCATCCCAAAATTTTTAAATCAATTCTAGATTCAAAATCTCATCTTCTCAGCTTTCTAAAGAAAATAATTCTAGCAATAAGATATAACAATTTTAAATATAGAGGCCTTTGACAGAAATACTTCAAATTAATAAATAGATTTTAAGGAGAAAAACAAAAAATTCCTCATTGTCATCAAGTTAAGTCCAATTCATAGAAACAACATAGGACAGACTAGAACTGATCTTTAAGATGCTCCAATTTGTAAATTTTTAAAGAAATAGACTGCTACATCATTCACTTGTGAAGCAGCTTCTGGAGATGACCTTTCATTTAGCAGTTTTAGCACTTTCATGACCATGACACTATGGTTTCTGAAACAAACAATTCCATAATAATAGGAAAAATTGAGCAGAAGATTTCAAAGGGCAGCTCAGGGAAACAAAGCAAAATTTTATAACAAAATATGCAAAGAACTAGAATCAGGAAATCAAAAGAGATGAATTCACTCGATATTTCTTTTTATTCCCCCTTTCAGAATATTTTTACAGCCTATTCTTTCCATTTCATTTTCCCCCAATTCATTCATTGTTGCACATTTTCCTCCCCGCTCACCCTTCCCCCCAGTTCATTTTTCTCTTTGAAGAAAAAAAAAAAATTCTTTCATTGTTATCCCACAGACCACTTCAATATGTCTTTCTTTTCCTGTAATCTTGTCATGAAATAATACCTAATTCTATATTCCTTTTAAACAGTTCTCTCCCTCATCTGTTTCAATGCAGTAAACATTATTCATTCCCTCTTTCCTTAGGTTCCTCTTAACCCCGATTCAGTCCCGTTTTACAAAAGTGGCACTATGCAGTATTTGTTCTTTTGTGAATGAGGTATTTCACACAGGATAATGTCCTCCAGGGTCACCCACTTTGTATAATATTTCATGAGTTCTTTGTTTTTCAGTGCAGCATAGTATTCCATTGTGTGGATATACCATAACTTCTCTATCCATTCATTCATTGATAGGCACTTGGGTTGTTTCCAACTCTTTGATATTGTGAACAAAGCCACGATAAACATGGATGTGCATATATCTTTTGGGTGGCAGTTCTGGTTTCTTTAGGGTATATTACTAGCAGTGGAATTGCTGAGTCAAATCGTATTTCTATTTTCAACTTTTTGAGAAAGCGCCATACAACCTTCCACAGCGGTTACACCATTTTATACTGCCACCAACAGTGAAAAAGGTTTCCAGTTTCTCCACAACCTCACCAGCATTTGCTGTTTGCTGCTTTAATGAATTTTGCTATTATTACTGGGATAAGATGATATCTCATTGTTGTTTTGATTTGCATCTCTCTTAGAGCTAGGGTCCACAACATAAACAGTCTTTCAAGCATCCTGACAAACCTACACCCAGGAGTGGATAAAATAGACGAATGTGACCTTCTAAGAATCACATCCCTTTGCACATTAAAAACCTTCTCCAACAGGGTAGAAAGGGAAGCCATTGACTGGGAAAAAATATTCGACAATGACGTGTCTGATAAGGGACTTATATCTAGAATTTATAGAATACTTGAGTGCTACAACAAGATAAAGGTAAGCAACCCAATTGCAAAATGGGCACAGGATATGAACAGACACTTCACCAAAGAAGACATTCAGATGGCAAACAAACACATAATTAAGTGTTCAAAACCTCTAGCTCTAAGAGCAAATTGATATTTCTTAAACTGAAGGAATTGAAATACAAATTCAAGCCTCAAGTGCAATGCTTTAAGATGTTATGGGCAGAATATGGAACGATCCAAGAAGCATCAAAAGAAGATGGAAGGAACACAGAGGCACTGTACCAAAAAGAATTGGCTGATACAGAACAAGAAATAGCATATTACTAATAAAGGAAGAAGTTCAAGTTGCTTTAAAGGAATTGGCAATAAATAAGGCCCCAGGAATTAACAGAATACCTATTAACATATTTCAACAAACAGATGCAGCCTTGGATGTGCTCACCAGGTTGAATCAAAATCTGAAAGACAGATACCTGGCCAAGTGACTAGAAAATATCCATGTAAATTATCAAATAAGATCACATGCAAGTAAAATCTTGCTGAATATTATTTAAAAATGCCTAGACCAGTACATCAACAGAGAACTGTCAGAAAAACAAGCTGGGTCTAGAAGAGGCTGTGCTGATGCTAGATGGACCTTGGCTGAAAGCAAAGAGTAGCAGAAGGATGTCTTTTTTATATTAACTGTACATAGGTATTTGTGCGGATTATAACAAACTGTGGCTAACATTGAGAAGAATGGAATTTCCAGAATACTTAACTGCACCCAGTGAAACCTAGACCTAGATGAGGAAGCTGTTGAATGAACAGAGCAAAGGAACATTGCATGACTCAAAATCAAGAAAGGTGTATATCAGGGATGTAGCCTTTCTCCATATTTTTTTCAATCTCTATGCAGAACAGATCATATGGGAAGTTGGACTTTATGAAGTGGAATGTAGCAACAGTATTGGAGGAAAAATCTTCAACAACCTGCATTATTTAGATGACACAACATTGTTTGCCAAAACCAAAACTAAGGAGGACTTAAAGCTTTTGCTACAGAAAATTAAGAATGGCAGTCTTTGCAATATGGATTGAAGTTCAACATGAAAAAAACAACTCTTTTCACCATGGGGCCAATTGGCAGCATCATGGCAGATGGAGAAATTATTGAAGTTGTTAACAATTTCATCTTGCTTGGATCCTCAATCATACTCTTGGCACCAGCAGTCAGGAAAATCAAAACACAAGTTACTTTAGGAAAGTTTGCTCTCAGCAACCTCTACAGAGAGCTAAAGAGCAACAATGTCAGTCTAGAGACTAAGGTGTGCCTGATCTAGGCCATAGTACTCTCAATTGCTAGCTATGCATGAGTACTGAACAATAACTAAGGATGACAGAATAATTTATGTCTGACCTGTGGTGCTGGAGAAGAATATTGAACATACCACAGACTGCCAAAGGAACACACAGGTCTGCCCTGGGTAGGGGGAAATGAACTAGCTGCTTGGAAGCAATTATTTTGAAGCTCTGTCTCACATACTTTGGGCATGGTGCCAGGAGAGATGAGTCCTTGGAGAAGAACATCACACTTGAAAAGGTAGAGGGTTAGCACAGATAAGGAAGACCTTGGATAAGATGGATTTACACAATGACTGTGGTAACGGGGGCAGGTGTGTCAAGACTGTGAGATTGACTCAGGATAGGACAGGGTTCAAAGCTATCTTTCTTAGGGTTGCTATGAGTTGTGGTTGATTAGGCAGCACGTAATAACAAGTTTATGGTTACAAACCCATTCAAGAATAGGTTATCTTCGTTGGCTTCTCAACATTCTAGTGCAATCTTCTGGCATTCATTTTGCTCTTTTCTTCATCCTCTGTCTATGTAATAATCTTTTTCTTTCTTCATGGATGATATCCTTGATGTCATCCCGTAACTCATCTGGTCTTCGTTCATTAGTATTTAACTCTCATACCACCAGAGCTCTCTTAAAAAGTGAAATTTTAAAATCCCTACAATCAAGTGAAAATGAAAATACAACATATCAAATACTTTGGGAAACAGAAAAACAATTATATTCAAAAGGAAGATACTGCAATAACTGCAGACATTTAAAAAAGGGATCCAAAATCATTATCTTAAACTGATGACTTGACTAAAGATAAAACAAAATCAAAGCAGCCAGACCCTACTGGGGGGGGGGGGAAGACAATAATTATCAGGGCAGAATAAATTAAACAGAAAAACAAAAGAATCAATAAAAGCAGAAGTTAATCCTTTGAAAGGGTCTAGAGGGTCTAGAGCATAGATAAACTACTGGCTAGACTGAGAGAACTGGGAGAAAGAGACAAATAGTCAAATTAAGAAATTAATTGGTTACATCACACCCAATCAAAAAGAGGGGTGTGTGTGTGTGTGTGTGTGTGTGTTCTGATGGCCACCAATCAAAAAGATATTGAAGATAATAATGGATTACTATCCTTTTAAAAAACAAAACTGCATTCCAATAAATTTGAAAAACAATCTCTCAGATGACATGATATGATTAGGGGGCAGGGGAGAGAGAGAGAGAAATTATCTCACAAAAACAACTGATGGACTTAACAGAAGAATTTGGCAACACCATAAGTATGAGACCAATAGACAAAAATTAGTTGCATTCCTCTACACTAATAAAGACTACTCTACGGTGAAGTCTTTCTCAGGGAGGAGTGATAGGGAATGGCAAGGGACACACTGACAAAGGAGATTAATCAGAACTGGCTTTGACAAGCACTGTGGCAATTGGACAATTA